TCTCTCTCTCTCTCTCTCTCTCTCTCTCTCTCTCTCTCTCTCTCTCTCTCTCTCTCTCTCTCTCTCTCTCTCTCTCTCTCTCTCTCATTCGCTGCTGCTGCTCGTGGCAGTCGACAACGACGTGTCAGACGATGACGACGCGTCACTCGACGATGACGCGTCACTCGACAACGACGCGTCACTCGACGACGACGCGTCACTCGAGGACGAAGTGCTGTTGCTTTCGGAGTCGTCGTCCTCTTGCACGCACGTCCTCCTCCTCTTTGGATTTCTTCTCGGCGACTGTGAGGCTGCAGCGACTTTCTTTGAAACTTTTTGTGCCTTCCTCTTCTTCGCCTGCTGAACAACCGCACGCTTTTCTTGCAAGGACGCCGGCGGTGTGACTGTCTTGCGTGCCCTGCCTCGTCCCCCTCATCCAGCCGGTCCAGCTGGCTCCTTCGGCTTGTTCTTCCCTCCTTTCTTTCTGCCTGCCAAACTCTGGACTTGACGCACCTTGCTGGCGTCAACTTCGTGGGGTGACACTGCCTCACGTTCTGTGGCTGCAGCTTGCGGGCGGTCGAGTCCTCCATCCTCGTCCACTTCGGCCGTCCTCCTGTCCACCATGCCCCGCGACCCGTCCCCGGCGTCTGTGGGAATGTCCTCACTCAACAGCAAGGCCGGAGGAGTCGGTCCTGTGAATCTGGCCCAATCAGGAGTCTGCCCCCCGGAATCGCTCCTCATGGGGGACATAGCAGCCAGATGTTTCTCGAAGTCCGTCTTCGAGCCTCTTGCAGCAATTGGTGCAACGTGGTGCAACAGCGAGGCGAATCCCTCCCCCAACGGCAACCCAGGGTCCGAAGTGGAGAATGCATTTGATCATCATCCTTGCCGGCATCGATGTGTCCGTCCTCGTGTTCCGCATGACCGGGAACGGGAGCGTCCATAGACACACCAAAGTCTCGAACGACCCTCGCCGCAGCACTATCAACGTGAGCATCCCCCGATCCCCTGTCTGTCATCCCCCGGCATGCGGCCGTCTCCTCCACCGCGGCTCGTGGAAGAGGGGTGTGCTGCACGTCGGAGGGTGTGCTGGTGCCATGAACCGAAGATACACCACCGGACGCGGAGGTGCGTAGCCGTTCACAACGACCAGTGCTGTCGGCCAACGACACAGAAGAGGCCCCTGAAGCCCCACCGGACACAGGGCCGACCTGTGGTGTGATAGCGACATCCGTCGCGGAGCATGACCCACCGCCCGACCGCCGAGTGAACCGCTTGTCCGTTAGAGGCACGTCGAGCAACTCCGCGTCACCGTCGTTGTCGCGACTGTCGTCCTCCTCGTCGTGATCAATGACGACAGTCTTCCCACGCTCATCGTCCGCGATTCTGCGAGGGCAATACGAAACATCAAGTAGCCATGCCCCGTCATCCTCCCTCTCCTCCTGAATCTTCCGCACGTCGAATCGTGTGGTTCTCGACCTGCGCCCTTGAGATTTCGACCAGTTGGCCGCCCTCCTACGCACCTCCGCGGGGTCGTACTCCCCTTCTCGCATGAAGCCATTGAATGGTGCCTCGTCCTCAGGTGTCTCCCACTCCAAACGCGCGGTGTTCACGAATCCCATCTTTGCCTTCGACATGCGCAATAGCTTCTTGTTCCAGTGGATGAAGACGAGCATCTCCAAGTTCTCCGGGCTCAAGAGATTCCTCCTCTTGGTGTGGACGAGATCGAACGTGGACCAATTCCTCTCACATGGAGAGGCAGTGGTCCACATGCTCAACACTTTGACGGCGATCTTCGTCAGGGTTGGGTGCCTTTTCCCGTACGTCAACCACCATTGCGTCATGGACACGTGACCGCCCGTCAAAGCCTCCTCGGAGTTCGGGCCAATCCACTCTGGATCCATGTGATGAAAACTCTTCAGGGAGTTCCTGCACTCTTTGTACTCCTTCGAGGTTTTCGCATGAACCGAAGCGAAGTGAGTCAGAGTGTTCGCAATCTCTTCGGACGCCAAGTCGTCGAAGAGTCGAGGCGATCTGTGTAGCGGGTGCAACATCCACGCCGCCGCATGCACAGGCAGGGCCATCATTCGCACACGGTCTTTGACCTTCGTCATCACGACGCCCCTTGTCTCGCTGTCCATCGGTATCGCGGCCATTCTCTTCTCCAACGTGATCCCCAAAGACCACACCTGCATACCCATCTTCCCATCTCTGTCCATGTTCTTCATAAGGGCATACACTGGCTCAAGCACGGTGCATGCCCGGTCGACGGTCGACTACCAAGCCGGGTCTCTTATGAGCTCCTTGCACGTCCGCGCCCTTGTCGCTGCTGCCCTGTCCCATGGAGAGTCATCCCACCACGGGTTTGAAACAGTCGATAGAAACACCGGCTCACACTCTCGAAGTCGTTGCAGCATGATGAAGTTTGTGCCGAATCTAGTCTCTCCTGGCTGAATCAACTCCAACGGTCTCCCATCTTTGATGTCCAACTGTGTCCTGTACTCTCTCCCGATCTTACAGAACATGGCCAACGCCCGCTGATGTCTCTTGATGAAGGTTGTGATCTCCCTGCCTTGCAGAATCACCTCTCCGATCCATGGCACCAAAACAATGTCACACATGAGAAGGTTGCACACGTGGCATGCGCACGACACCCATGGAATGCTCCTAATTGCAGGGTCGTCATGCTTTTCCAATATCTTCTTTGCGGAAATGTTGACCAGTGCCGAGTCCGTGCAGATCGCGTTCACCCTGTGCACCCCCAACTCTCGTATCACCTCCACCCACATCCTTGCCAAAGCCAGAGCCGACTTATCCGTCCCCTCCATGTCCACACTACGCACCATAACAGCCCTCGAATCACCGGCTGCAATGAAGTTAATGACCGGCCTATTGCTGGTCATTGTCGTGCCGTCCGTCATCAAGGTGAGGCCCGTGACATCCCATGGCTCACGGATCTTGTCAAGATCCTTGTCCACGTCTTTGTATTCCGCGAGCAGGGCCTTCGTCCTCAGGTAATTGTATCCAGGCATCCGTAGTATCTTCCTCGATCTCGCAACGATGTTCATGATCCTTTCCATGTTCTTATACGAGTCCGAGCGCTCGGCGTTGAAGGCGATGGCATTCTCAAAGAAGAAGGAAGCAACCGCCTGGTCGAACTCCCTCTGTAGCTCATCCACTACGAAATTCTTCATGGACGACTGTTGTGCACCCGATGGTGGTCGTGGTGGGCGAGCTGCAGCCAGAACAAGACCCCGCAGGTGCTCAACGATCTCTTCCGGGATGTCGGGCCCCCAGGAATCCCAAGCGCCCCTGTCAGCAACGGATGTCGAATCGAAACCCACAACACTGCCTTCTCCCGCCGTCGAACCTGTGTCCCGCCTTCCGTCTGCCCCTGCCGAGGACGTATCGACCTCCCTTGACGCACAAGCCACATCACCGAGAGCAAGATCCTGCGCATCCACAACAACCGGCGGACGGCCCTGTTCCTTGTAGTACTCGTTCAATTTCGCCAGCAACGCAGGGACCTATGCCACTTTCGGGTGGTTACTCCAAATGACAGCAAGAATCTCACCGGTGGTACGTGGACAACGGGCAGTGATCGATGGTTGTGTGTGGTGTTTCACGACTTTGGACAGCGTGCCGACGAACTCTTTGTTGCAGAGCCTGCAACGCAACCTCCACGAGCTGTGTGATGTGTCGGTCGTCACCTTCTGGCCTCTGTCCGCCCATTTCCAAAGCTCCGACTGGCTGAGCGTCCTTTCTCTTTCTGCACCAGTCTCATGTACGAACGGAACTCGATTGCCCGCAATGGTCGTCGCACCGGAGGTGGATGGTTGGTTTGGACGAGTAGAAGAACAAGAAGGACAAGAAGAGGGAGTAGTAGAAGTGGAGGGAGGTGAGTGCCCGCTGCCCGACGAATTTCCGAAAAGAAATAAAAAAATAAAAAAAAATCGGAGGTGGTTGATGGAGAGAAGATGGAGATGAGGAAGAAGAGGATGGAGAGAAGATGGGGAAGACGAAGAAAAAGAAGAAGAAGAAGAAGAAGAAGAAGAAGAAGAAGAAGAAGAAGAAGAAGTAGAAGAAGGAGAAGAAAAAGAGGAAGAAGAAGAAGAAGAAGATGGAGAGAAGAAGAAGAAGAAGAGAAGATGGAGAAGAAGAAGAAGAAGGAGAAGAAGAGGGAGTAGTAGAAGTGGAGGGAGGTGAGTGCCCGCTGCCCGACAAATTTTCGAAAAAAATAAAATAAAAAAAATCAGAGGTGGGTGATAGAGTGAAGATGGAGATGAGGAAGAAGAGGATGGAGAGAAGATGAGGAAGAAGAAGAAGAAGAAGAAGAAGAAGAAGAAGAAGAAGAAGAAGAAGAGACGAAGAAGAAGAAGAGAAGACGGAGAAGAAGAAGAAGAAGGAGAAGGAGTAGTAGAAGTGGAGGGAGGTGAGTGCCCGCTGCCCAACGAATTTCCGAAAACAAAAGAAAAGAAAAAAATCGGAAGTGGGTGATGGAGAGAAGATGGAGATGAGGATGAAGAGGATGGAGAGAAGATGGGGAAGAAGAAGAAGAAGAAGAAGAA